ACCAAAATTATGTTATTCTTGGCATATACCGAGCAAGTGTGCTTGTAGCAGTTATCCAAAGAGTGTTAAGAAAAGGCTCTGAAGAGCCACTCTTCAGGCTTCCACTGTGAATGTGCTGTGCGTTCCGCGCAGGCTTGGCGGTTATTTTGTGTGTGCTGTTTTTATTGACTTCAACGCTCCTTAATTACACGTCCACTGAAACAAGGTATTCTGAAGTTGCAGTCTTCTGTCGTACAACGCCTAAAAATTGATTGATTGATTGATATGTGGGGTTTAACGTCCCAAAACCACTATATGATTATGAGAGACGCCGCAGTGGAGGGCTCCGGAAATTTAGACCACCTGGGGTTCTTTAACGTGCACCCAAATCTGAGCACACGGGCCTACAACATTTCCGCCTCCATCGGAAATGCAGCCGCCGCAGCCGGGACAACGCCTAAAAAGGCCCTTCATGCCGAGAAGTTCGAACCTAGTTGCAGAACACAATAACAAGGAAAGTGTCATGGGTATTTATTACATTCTTTACTTATCCCACGTACTAAAGAATGTTGGGAGTAGAAGCCACGTTAATGTTGTATCTACTGCTGTCAACAAGCTAGGTAAGACATGCGCCGACGTGCAAAAAAATACTTGTATATCGGTAAATGACAAAACCTGGAGAGGAATTTGTTTCAAAAAACACATCAACGAATTTTTAGTCTGATTTCTCGTTATGGCATACTAAATCCCTGTAAAACTTGGCAGCTTCTGCGTGTATAAGAAAGGCTGTCATGCTAATCAGAGAATAATTAATCCTAAAAGTTATCTAAGGGTAGCGCCATCTAGACTTTCTTTGCAGTGCCAAAATTATAAAGGGGCCCTGTAACACTTTTCCAAGTAACCATTCAATGAATTCATTGAACGAGTTCACTGCTTGACGAATGGAGCGCTGCAAACATTTGTAGAATCTGTCAAGTAAAAGTAGGGTAACAGATTTGTTTCACGCTGTAATTGCTTTCTCTCTCATCTCGTCCTGACGAGCGTGCTGGATGCTAATCGGGGAGTAATGATAGGGGGCCGAGAAGTTACGTTGTGAGCCATTCATGACCTTGAGCGCTTTTTTTTTTTCGAATGCGCTGCTTACTTTCCGTGCGAGCGCGCGCGCGCGTGGTGAGCTTTCGCGGCGGCCACAAGCTCAAGTTAGCGCAGTGCTGTTCGCGGCCCTAACGTAGAGAGGGCAAAGCTCCGGTCGCTCAGACGGGCCGCGCCTGCTTGGTTTTTGCATTGCGCACTCGGAAAACGTGTTCCTTGGGGCTTTTATCTCGCATTTCGCTCGCTATCGGTGCCACTCCTTCACCATCCTGGAAAGCCGGCACGCACTCCTGCTGTATCGCGAGCTGCTACTAAAGTTTAAAACTGTCGAAGAGCTCCAAACTGCCCGTGAAGCTCTACCGTTTACAATGCAAATAGTGTGAGAAGCAATTGAATCAATAGTGGCTTATGAAAGTTCGTCGATACTTCCATGGTCTTGTCACTTTGAAGAATCTATCGCCGTGCACAGTATCAACATCTATAAACGGGAGAAACGTGATGGCCGGACTCATATGAAAAGGAAGTGTGCTTGTAAACTGAAAATGCATCAGATAGACAACCACTGTACGATTCGAGATCGGGCATCGGCTTTCCGAGACAACCATATATAATACGAAAGTAGCTGAGCTTACTAGCTTAATGCACCACTGTTCGAATACCATATAGTGAGCCCTGCAAGTGTTTTATAGACCTGGTGGTTGTAGACATCTCGTCGCCGCTCAGTGTCAACAAATATATGCTGCGTGTTCACGCTGGCCCGTGAGTTGAATTCCCGCATACGCCAGCTGAAGTTCTATTGAAGCGCAACATAGTAACATTGGGGTTAGATTTAGGTGAAAGAATGGCAGACAGAGTTTCTTGGCATTTATTATTTGAAGCGTACCGTAGGATGGTGCTTTATGTAGATAAAAGGGGCGCTCGGTGTGTGTGCGCCTCTCTCTGTTGTCGTCGTCGCGCCTTGCACTTCGAATAAATATATGTGCACGTAAAAAAATAAATCTTAGGTGGCCGGAATCAATCTGGAGTCTCACAACACCACGTCATGCCTCCGAATAATATCACGGTTTTTGCGTGTAAAATACTATATTCTTGCAAGCGCCCTAGCTTCGGGCGATATACAGCTGCCGCTACGAAGACGAGTAAAAAAAACCAAGACAGCAATAAAACTTGAGATGGTTTCGCAAAATTAGACTCGGTTGTTATGGGCGAAACTCGGCGTAACTAAAAACATGCTCAATCCTTGTACATTATGACGAAGACTAAGCGAGCTGTAAAAAGAACCAAATTGACATTCGAATCAGTGAACATGCTGCGTGATCAGGCCTGAATATGCATAATAAATGAAACATGTGCAGCAGAAAACATGCATGGTTGAAGTGGACATAAAATACTTTTTTTGTGTGTGCATCATTAGGCTTTCAAAGGAGCTGTGAAAAAATTGAAGGTAGCATTGAACTCACGATACGACGTTGTTAAAATCTGATGAAAACCTCTGCAAAAGTGAACCTCTTATGAAGCTGAACACTGTGAATTGCAATGATGCCAGGGACTCAGCAAAGCAGACGTAAGTTTAGTTTCTTCACACTGACCTCCAAATAAATTTAAAGCAGCGCGACCAACTTGGCATCCAAGCAATCCATATTCGAACGCCATTGTGCAGTAGTTTGCCGACAGTATTTAGAAGACACGACTACCGCAGCAAATGCCCATTTTACCGGTAACATACATATAGGATAAAGAACGCCACTCCCTTGTAAGCCCAGGCACCGTACCTTACACCCGGCAGCAGCTGATTGTATTTATGCACCGGCAGGTCGTATAGAAATGACAGTGTATATACTGTGCGATTTCAGGGCCCGCTAAAGTAATTTGGTTGTTCGAAATCAAACGGAGTCTTCCGATATGCATCGTGTGATGTAGCCCGAGTCGCTTTGGGACAGTATAGCCTAGAAATCAAGAAAAGTACTAAAATTATCATTTAAATTATGCATCTTGTTCTTATTCTCCATCTTCATTAAAGCGAACTTGAGCAGCATTAAGTAATCCAAATGTTGAACAATCATGTGACCACAGCTCATTCAGAGCTCTTTCCTTGTGAAATAGTCGTTATGGCCGTGACGGGTGGTACAGTATGGTATTTTTTTTTATACTCAAAGCTCTTCAAAAATCGGCCGCTGCTCTTCTGGGGTGCTATGCAGGATCGGCCGAATTTCACGAAACTGAGGATCTTCACGAACTCTGGCGACACCCCCTTGTCGACGAGCCAGCAGTACGAAAAAGTTAAATCCACCCCTCAGTGCGCTGCGTTTCACTGGGTACGATGAAACCAGTCATCGCGTCAAGGACGGTCGACTAACCCTCGTATTCTAGAACGTCCCTTCACTCAACGCTTCAACTCCACTTGAGAAAGCCGATGGGAGCGCCGTCTCTAGGCACGGCAAGTCACTGCATATCAGCGATAACTTGCTGCGATTCTGGAGTAGCGCAGCGTCATTTTCAGCCGAGCGGTGGCGCAGTACTCAACTCTGTTCAATGAAGAGTGGAAGTCTATTTTAGGAGCGTTTGTGAATACGGGAGTAAGTTGGGTGGTGTTTTCAAAGCAGAGGCATCTTCTTTCATTTCTTTGTCGTTCCACTAAGCGCAGAAGTGCACCCATGCAATAAATGTGTCAGAAAGTTTTCGTGATATTCTTTAGTTGCATGGGGTGTTTCAAAATATTTTTAAGCTTTTGATGCCGGCACTAAGTAGGTTTTAGAATAATCAACACAGTGGCCTCTGAGATTAGCACCATCCGAGCGTGTTACAACATCCTGACCACAGCTCAATCCAAGGCCACGTGTTATTATTGATGGTCAGCCTGTAGATTCTAGCGTGGTGCTCGGCCGCTGGTCGTCGTCTTTGTTGTCATCGCCCGCTAGCACCCGAGCACGTGCGGCCGGCTAATTAGCTATTATAGACGAAGCTCCTAAAGCCGTGAGTCTGTTCCTCCTAACTCGTGGTACGTGACCACCAAGTTCGATGACTCACTCAGCAGATGAGGACGGACGGACAGACAGACAGACAGACAGACAGACAGACAGACAGACAGACAGACGCTTCACAGTTCACCAACAAATCTCTCCCAAGCTTCGCCCTAGTCATCATCATTAGCTCCGTGGATATGCCGTGATTTTTTCGGCTGCATGGTATACTTGGCTATAGGTGAGAACATGCTATGACCAGGCTAATTAAGTCAAATCACGATTAGGACAAGGTAATTACGCCACATCTTAAAATAATCGTGCTAATGAAGCCATGTAAAGCTAAAACCGGGCAAACTAGAGCATGCTAGTTGATAAGCTAAGTAAACTCTGCTAATTAGCACGACGTTATTCATCAGTACGCCAAGTAAAATCTTGCTAATTATACCTTACTAATATGATGACAATTAGTATCCTGCTAATCAGGATTACGTTTAATAGCCGCATACTTATCATCGTATTGCTAATTGCACCCGAGACTATTGTCCTAACTGAAACCTTATCAATGAGGACAAGACCATTCAGTGTAATGGTCGTTAAGCTTCAGCAAATTAGTACAATAAAATATAGACAGAGTTGATGCGGTCTCCACATCGAGGCCGACCACGCACATGAGTAGACGACAAACTTAAAAAACGGTGTTTCTTTGATAACCACCGCGAATGTTTCACATGCGTGTCCAACGCCACGCACGTTTTGTATATAGCCATTTTTATCAACGCTGTTATCACGTGCTCCACACTGCCTTCCTGCCATAGCCGCCACAAAGCAAACTCTGAGCAAAGTCATCTGCCCGAGTAGCTCGGGCTATCATGCATAGCATCCCTGCATTCGTTTCATGAAATTATCCTATCAGAAGGGATAACAAACCAAGACGTTTAGATGGAAATGAAAATAATAAGTGCTTACCTCCAATATCGTTGAATCAAGCTTTTCACATAATAACGACATAAAGAAATCTTCGCTGGGATCTTTCTTTGGTTATACACTATTAGGAATCCACTGTAAAAGAAAGGCATCAAGAAATACAACCTTAATATGCATCACATCGTTCAAGATATATACTTTCACAAACAACCGCAACCTTTGGAATGCAGTACTTGTACAGCAAAGACAAGCGTTCATATAAATATCCAAGAACAATATCATCTACAAGCTCGAAGCTCCTTCATTCTGGTTTTAGCCCTTTTCTTCTGGTCAAGAATTATGGTAGTCAGTATTCCTTTGCCAGCGTATAAGTTTATTCATTAACTGGGCTAAAATGGTCATGGCAAGCTTCTGGTCATGACCTTTCAAGTCATTAGCAAGCTAACTTCAAGGACCTCTGTGTGCCATGAATACAGTTGCCTCTCTCATCTGGTCTCCCGTCGAAGTTTCACACACGGAAAAAGGCACGCCGAAGACGGCGCTGTGACCGACGCGCTTGGCATGGCCATTTTGCCCTTACGTGGGTGTTTCCTGTCAAAAAACAAATATTGCCTCAAATGGTCTTCATTCTGTTGGTGCCCTGAACATCACAGTGATAACTGTTAGTCTAATAATATGCCATACACTGAAAATTATAAGCTAAAGTCATTGGTCGTAATAATGGTTCGTCGAAGGACGCCGCTGAAGCGATGCAACTTTGCCCGGGTTCACCTACAGGTACGTTTCATCATCTCAGTGTATTGTTTAATATCCAGCTTAGATGTTTATTTCACCATGCATGAGTCTAACTGACTCATTCGCAGTGTTAAAATGCAAAGAACGCTCATGTGAATAGCTTATAGGTGCACGAGAAAGAACCTTCCCAGAAAGAACCTGTAGAAAGAACCTGCAGTTTCCCACTACGACATGCAATCGTACAGTGTATTTGGTACGTAAGCTGTATAATAATAATAATAATAATAATAATAATAATAATAATAATAATAATAATAATAATAATAATAATAATAATAATAATAATAATAATAATAATAATAATAATAACATTATTATTATTATTATTATTATTATTATTATTATTATTATTATTATTATTATTATTATTATTATTATTATATATTATTATTATTATATTATTATTATTATTATATTATACTATTATTATTATTATTGTTGTTGTTGTTGTTGTTGTTGCTGCTGCTGCTGCTGCTGCTGCTGTTGTTGAAACAAGATTCCGGCAGTGCCTCGTCGCGTGATGACTGTCTTCCAGCTGTTGAGTATTTCGGATGGGTCGGTAAACCGAATAGAGCATTTTCTTCGATGCCCTTACATATGGAGACAGCAAGTATTAGGCAATGCTGCTAGGCAAATTTAACGTGATAGCTTGGGCGTGCTAGTTATTCAATACTTCGCAAAAAAGCTCCAAATAAAGAGGGGCAAAAAAGCCAGTGCTGTGTATATTAGATCAATGGGACGTGTCCCTGTTTATTACAGGCTGAATTTTTTCGTTATAAAAAATTAGAAACATTGTTATCACCTCAGAGAAAGACAAGTTGCGGTGAAACAAATACAAGCACGCAGCACAACACATGGCACCGATCCGGTAAGACGCCACAGCGGCCGGAGCGTGCCGCCGTCTAGCTGCACAGCGTCCGGACGTGGGAACTGAGAGCACTTTAAGAATATTTTTCAAGGCATCACGCCGAAGCTTTATAACGAGTCAAAATGCCACACATGCCAACTCGAGTTAAACCCAACAGGCCAGATGGAAATGGCTCTGTAGCAGCTGATTTTCTTTACGCAGGGCACAAGCGAATCCTTGTGAACTCTGCTACATCATCAAGCATCGATGGATAAATGTAGGTTTTGAGTGGGATGATGTGGCTGCATAAAAAGTACATTGTTCGGAATTTCCTTATCCAATTCGCATTCAAGTAGCGCATTTTGTCCATTTCTTGGGGGCCTTGTTTTTTTTTTCCACTTTGCATGCCCCCTCCTCTCCTTTACCCTAGTACATGCTGTTGTTGCTTTGCGGATAAACAAATTAATGTTTTTTTATAATATACAACACAGAGTAAAACAAATATAAAATATTTTATGATGTGTGAGCAGAACACAGAAATCAATGATCTGGAGAGAGCATATGCAGTTAACGCTACGGAAAAATTTTGCCTTGCTGTCAGCAGCGTCTTGCTATACAAAGAAAAATAGCATTTGACATGCGTAGTGCCATGTTTGAATAAACCTGCAGCAACACTTATGAAGTTGTAATTGTTGACGTACCTGATGAAGAAAAACATGTCAACACAAAGCCAAGCGTTGTTAACAAACTGGAACGGAATGTAAACAGCATTCTTTTGCAGCTCTCTCAGAGAACCTACAAAAAAAAGAAAAAGAAGCTTATTGACAAAAATACCTATGTGTTGTGAGCTCAAGCGCAGGTCTGCCTTTCTAAGAAGGAAAGTACTTCAGTTGAAGCACAACAATAATGCGCAGTACAATTAATTAAACAGGAGGTGTTCCCTTTCAATAGGCATGAGCAAAAGACTGGACGCGTTATAAGTGTCTGCTAGCCACTTAGGTTATCGTGGAAAAGGTTTCTCAATGCGCTTTAACTAAACAAAAATAATGGTACATTGTACAAGTACATAGCCACTAACCATGACCCATTTCAAATTTCAGTTGTACTCTGAAAGCTGTAGGGTGCCATACCTCGACATGTCGAAAAGGGAGCATCATTAGGTGAGATGGCCTGCTTGTAAAACGGAATTGCAGGCTCGCGTCAACACTCTGCCATGACATGGGTTTTCATGCTGACACAGACTCCGCCTTAATAAGCATATACTATAGGTCACTATTATTCATCGCGCTCACCTATACTGATGCCAAAAACATGGCGAGTCTTGCACGTAACCGTATCTTTCTCTTCAGCATGCCTGATGTCAGAAAGGGTACCCAAAAAGAAGCACTACGTCCCGCAGCCACGCCTGACAAATAAGCGCACCATGAAGCTCTTCATTTTTTAAAGACCTTCTACGCAAAATATTTGATCTATCTGTCTATCTGTTTGTCTGTCTGTCTGCACATTTGTGTGTTTGTCCGCCCTTAACTATACTCTAAACAGCACCATACAATACCTCAAACGGCCGACCCCGTCTTCAGCGGCCACCAATATTGCTCAAAATTCAGAGTTCATAATTGTGCAATTGTCAAATAAAAAGCAATTATTGCGCATATATGAGGCACCATAAAAACAAATCAATGTTCTGTATGTGTGTCTTTTACTAGAAAAGGCATACATGAGTAATTCTAAGGACCGTAGCGTTTTATCACTCGGCGCTGACAATGCAACGCTTGCACAAAAGGGCAAAAGTTTTCAACGCTTTGCTAAGACGACACGGTGGTGGCTCCTACCAGTCGCCTTGCGTTCTACACCTGATCACCTCAGAGACGAGTGTGCACGCCGCGCGCTCCGTTTTTCCACGATAACGGCCAGATAGCGCTCATGCATCGCGTGTGAAGTGAATTGATGTGCTCGTTCACCTTCACTGCACGCTCGAGGCACTCTAACGCAGCGCCTCCAGAATACCATTCACCGATTTTCTTGAGCAGAACATCAAATAAACGTTTTGCTCACTCTGCAGACGCGAGACCATTGTCTTTCGACGACACTTGCAGTGTAACATTAGATACGGGGCCACTTTTTTTATCGCCTGCTGCATCCTTCCATCACGTGGTCCGTATGAGATCTAACACATTCGACGCAAATGTTTGCTCTGATGGGCTGCCGCAACTTCACCTGGTTCGCACGCAATCTCTGGGATTGGTGAAAGCGTGTCAGAATCTCTGGGATTGGCGAAAGCGTGTAGGATTGGCCTGGGTGGGGCCCCCCCAGAGATGCTGTACAGTGATGTGCTGGTGGACCAACTCAGACTTGTCCAGAAGGCCCGTGTGGCGGCAAAGGGCCTTGGTCTTTTTGTACCGACGAGGCAGCAGCCCACCTCAGTCCAACACTGAAACCCCAGGACCTTCATATACCATATGGTTCATACCTTACCACACTGTGTTCCTGTGTTCGGCGTAGTGGCGGTATTAAAGCGGCCCTGCAACACTTTTTGAGCATGGTCAAAAAAAGCTGCCGATCGATAGTAGAGGCTCCCGAGAACACACAAGCCAAATGTTATAGCGCGGCACATGGCCTAGAAGTCACAATATATCATCAAAGACAGCTAAAACCTGCTTTCTCTTCTCTGGAGAAATGATGGAAGACACTCAAAAATCACTCCTAGAAAGCCCATTTATCAGCCATTGGCTGATTTGAAATGGCGCGCTCGGTTGTTACAGAGATCGCCGCAAAAGGCCGCCACTTGAGCGCGCAAAAGGCCATGCGTGTGCGCGTTATCGAACTGGAAAAGCGGCGTATTCGAAAAAAAAAGAAAGTGCTCATCGTCATAAGATGCGCGTGACGTTTTTTGTTTGCCCCTACCATCCCTCCCTAGTTAGCTTTCAGAGCTTTCGTCGGGGCGAGAGAAGAGAGATTGCGATTGCAGCGTGGGACAATTCTTCGTAACTTCGCTTGTACTGGACGGTTTCTTAAAATTTCCACGGCTTTGAATTTGTGAGTCAATACGCTCTTTCATTGAATTAATTCCATGGTTACTCAAAAAAGTGTTTAAGGGCCCCGTTAAGTTTTGTCGGGTCAAGTACCGACACAACACTGGCAGTGAGTCGTGCGCCGAGGGGCTTCTATGTTTTGCTTGACGCGAAGCTATTTCGACAAGGGCCTTTGTTTTAAGCTTTAGTTGAACTTGAGCGGTGACATTATCACCGCGTAATAAACGTTTTTGTCTGCTTGCTACACCAAACATGGCCAAGAGCCCAATTCATCTCGACCTGAGAGCGGGCAAATCGATCGTCCAGAAATAATGAACCTTATAGTCGTAAAGGAAAAGCAGGAAATATTTGAACAGCACGCGCACAAGCGGAAACTTTGATTTAATGAGAGTTCATGACAGTGCGGTTATACCAACGATTCAATATAATATTCCAACTGATTGAGAATTCGACGCGTCGGTAGCCACACGACCTATGAGAAATCTATGAATGATAGTTCCGTTTTAACCCGTGCAGTCGACAATCCTTTTTTGGAGGAAGTGGGGCCCAGAAAGGGGTGCATATATAAGGCTATTCAGCATTCACCTCATGCCGTCGTTCTCTGAAGTACGACTAGATGCATCCACTATGTTGTACTATCAGATCATCTTTTACTTAGATTGCCTTCTTTGGTTGGACAAATCAACCGAACTCATCAATATCAACCGAACTTTCTCCGTGCACGCACTTTCCTACTTGATGTTTTTTTGCCTGCCGAACACGTGTGCTGTACACGGCACAGTTTTTCTTCTCGGCTCATATGGTACGTGCCGCAGCATTCTAAAGATGTGCGGGCTTTCGGGTAAGTTGCACGACACAGTGATGTAAAAAAATGAGGGGAATGGTGATAAACAGGTCGCAAATAATGACTATAACGTTTACGATCACGTTGCCTTTATTTTGTTTTACTTTTTTTCGGGAGAGTGTGGCGTAGCAATGGGGAATATGTAAACGTAGCTACTAGCTGATTTCTACACTACAGGGATTTTTGTTCATCTGCAGTGCGATCAAATGTCTTACCTTGCGCATTTGAAAATGTTTTATCGTGCATGTTCTTGCATCGAAGATGTTATTTAGGCGTTCCGTGGTATAGTGGGAAGTACATTGCGCGTCCATGTGCTCAGTTTGAGAACATCTTACGCGCTGCGTTATGCTCAAGTAGTATGTTTCTTTTTTATTTAGAAGAAATCTTTAGCAGGGGACGAAGTAAGTCTGCCTCGACGTTATTTTTATATGCGTAAACAGCCCCATGCAGTGGCAGCATTTTTACGAAAACAGTATGTATTTTCCGCCTGACGTCGTTGCTCTAGAAAATCAGGATGGTGCTGCTCAGCTCGGGGAGACGCCTTGGGGGTGACATTTCGATGGGGGTTTCTCATTTGTTTCTACAGAGACGCACCTTAAATAGTGTCAATTATTGTGTAGAGAGAATAAAATGAGGGAAAGGTAGGGAGAATTATTGTGTAGTTATTCACTATGCGTCATAACCTAATTGTACTTTACATGCTTAAAATCTCACAAGTTATCAAGTGCTAAAATCTGTTTTCTTCTTAATTTGTCACCTTCTGACTACAAGCTGCCGTAGATTGGGCCGAGACCAATGACCTAGAACTGGTATGCTTACGGTATGTGCCGATGTCCGGATAAACGTACGTATGGAAAGTGACCACCCAAAAGACGCCACATATCCGCAGGCCGTTGAATACCTTGAGACTTGTTTTAGAATTTCCAACTTTAAACAGCTTGCTGGTAGCCCGCGGCAGCGACAATTTCAGGAACGATGGTAGATGTTCGCCTGGAAAGTAATAAAAGAAGGGTTATAAAAATAACAAGCTGCACTGAGGTAACGTAGTCAAAACACGTTTATCTACAAAGGCTTCGTTTAAAGTGATCGAGAAGCCTAAATATACGGAAACGCATCAAAGTACATAAAATTATCTACTTCGCAACAATACGAAATACATTTTTAGAATAGAACTCAGATTTAGATGCCGATGCAAAAGCATGTCATTTGCGTGATCTAGATTTAAAAGAAAAAACCACCAGTTTCACTGCAGCAGTGAAGCAATACATGCGACAGCAACAAATTGAAATGTAAACAAAGCAATGAGTGAGTCTTCGAAGCACTGGTTAAAGAGAATGCGGCCACTCCAGAAAAGCAAAGTAGTTTTCTTGCTGTCTGTCGTCCCAAGAAAAATTAAGCGCAGAGGGCTCACCAAGTGAACGAGCTGTTTAGGGATGTCTATCGAGCTGGCGTGTGCGTGCGTCAGCTATGACACCGTGGTGTTCACTGCGAGAAAATTTCGCAGTTGCTGCTCGAGCGATGCAGTCTAAAAATGATCTAGCATTTTTCATCAAATGCACAGTTTAAGCGATTCTAAAACATCCGTTGTATCTATACTTATAGCCTCTACTATTAGTACCTCAATAATGGTTTGTTTTAAAAACAGAACAATGTCACCTAAACTAACTGGCGCTAAGTCAGTCAAATAATCATGCCTGAACCCGACTTGGAGGGTCTGTTCTGCCGAAGTATGATTAGGTAATTTATTAGGCTACTATAGGGAAGCTCTCATGCCCTTTCCTAAGAATGGGAATATTCTAATAGGACGGCAATTTTCAATTCTTACATAGATGCATTTTTGAAGACCGGATTTATCTTACGATGGTCATTCCGTGTTGAAAAGTTTTGATAATTGTTTTTCTGTTCATATTATTCTTCCTTTTTTATATTACAGCATGGCATCTGGCTTGCAAGTATTTCTTCTTGTAGAATTTGGCTTGTAGATAAGTAGTACGCTGATCAATGCACTCAGTAATTCTGGATTGGAAAATATCGAATGATTTTGCAAGACAGTCTTCCGTTCGCAGAACACTTTAGCCGTGCTCTAATGGCTGCGCGAAGGAATTCCTTCATAATTGTGGCGATTCCAACGCCCACAGTACTCTCTGGGGGTATGTGCTTAAGGAGAAGCGGGGACGCAAGCTAGGGGTATTTGCGTCTATGACGGGCCTGGCTTTCCACATCAGCCCTGCACACTCAACGTTGGCGCGTAACTACGTCACCCGGGATACATGCCAGGTCCTACTTTTAGCAAAAACATAAGACAAGAAGAATGGACCTGTACTAATGAAACCCTCGGTAGTGACTACTACAACCATAACGACTAAACCATTGGCAAGACAACAGGCACAAGCCAAGCTCCCCGACTGGGCTGATTTCTGGCAAAGCTACAGTATTTGGCCTCTATACCCGAACAGGGATGACAAACGTGGACAAAAGGACTGGCTACACACCTGTGTTTCAATGAGACAGAAATTCAACTCTCGGAGGCAACGTCATCGGTGGGAAACATCCTTTGCACCTCTGGGAAGCCGGGCAAGGCACCGTCAGCAGAAGACACAACAAAAATATAACAGAAAGCACACACCTCGTGTCACCAAACTCCCCCAGCGAGCGGCACAGTACGTGGCCCAACCCGCCGACTCGAACTGGGCGGACCACTTTAACGAAGTGGCCGGACGCATGTCTAACCAAATTCCTGGGTGCCTACGCGCCCTAATTGACCCGACTAATTCTCGCGCCGAGACGCAAAAACATCTCTAACGAGCTATTCATAGCTTCGATGGAAACACCTTAAATTAGTGCCCACAATAGGCGACCACCTCCTGCTTGCTGAACGGGACTTTTGAAGGCCTGCGTACTTGTATGCAGTAGTTCCAGCTACAAGACCGCAAGGCGTGCCTTAAGCAACAATGAAACAAGGAATGAGCCCCGCCGCGGTGGTCTAGTGGCTAAGGTACTCGGCTGCTGACCCGCTGGTCGCGGGATCAAATCCCGGCTGCGGCGGCTGCATTTCCGACGGAGGCGGAAATGTTGTAGGCCCATGTGCTCAGATTTGGGCGCACGTTAAGGAACCCAAGGTGGTCGAAATTTTCGGAGCCCTCCACTACCGCATCTCATAATCATATGGTGGTTTTGGGACGTCAACCCCACATATCAAATCAATCAAACGAGGAATGGTACCAGGCCGGGAAAAGGTAACCATTAAATTGTTTGCCAATATCCTCAACCCAGCCTAAAAAGCCCCCCTCGCTCTCATCAGCTCAATGTGGCTTGGTCGGGCACTCCTCACAACCGAATGAAAGATTGCTCGGCTAACAAAGCCATTAGCACGGACAACCTCCACCCCATCTCTCTTGTGTCTTGTGCAGGAAGTGTTATAGATACTTTTGTGAGGGACTGGTTGACTAGATTCTGGAAAACGAGAATGTATTCGCATACGTGATGTTTCGTGTCTACCCTTACCGGTCCACGCAGGGTATGCTGCTTCAACACGAGTGCGAAATTCACAGGTCATTCGCATAACCTCTTAACAATAAGGCGATACTTGCCCGACTTGAAGGAGGCTTTTTGACAACTTCACATGGGAAACTATCCTGCAGCATCTCTCTCAAAGCAACTGTGGACATAACATCGTGCAGTATATTAAGTTTGATAAGACAGATGCTTGGGCTAGTTGGTGATTGGGAAGCAACATATTTGCAAGTGCAAGACTGCGAGTACTTACTGACGTAACTACAAAAGAAGAGACAAGGACAGAAGCAGTGCTGTTTCTGTCCTTGTCTCTTCTTCTGAAGTTACGTCGTAACTACTCGTAGTCTTGCGCTGTGCAAATATGTAGTATATTTAGCGATTTCGCTAGTACCGTAAATCTTTCAACCGAATACAAGACGAATAACACGGCGCCTATCAACAGTAAACGAGCGCCACCCCACAAGGTGTAGTTCTCTTGCCACTACTTTTCAATCTCGTCTTGATGAAACTTCTGGTTCGGCTGGCAAATGTCAAAAGTGTCTAGCTTGTGCTATTTCTCGATGACATAATCATCTGGGCCTAACATGGATTGGTTGCAGACATTTCAGCCAACCCGCCACAAACGGCGAATATCGTGATCATCAACATGCGCCGCTGCGGACTTTAAGGCTCTCTATCCAAATTTAAATTAGCGCACATTTACCAGTCGTCTTGGGGCACCCACAAAATGGAACTACTGCTGGCCAGCGGCCTGAAACCCGAACACGATGAGACTAGCACGTATCCACACACACAAGCTAGCAGATACAATAGCCAAACTGCGTAAGGTTAGTGTACCAGTTGGGCCGGATGGTCCACCAAGTTTCCAGCAAACGCAGAGGGCACTTGCAAATGCGCCTCGAGGCTAGCTCATTCCTTCATAACCAGTTGAGTAATCTACTCGGCTCTTTACCTGCACCTGTGAAAGTCTGATGAGAATGCCCTTGAGTACTTTTTTACGAAAATGTACAAGCATGTCCTTGATCTCCCGATAAGCCCGCTCAACTAGCTCCTCATGGGCCTGGGGATGATAAAAATTTTGGCAGGGCTTCGGGAAGCACACTTGATGAATAAATTCACCAGATTTTCAATGACAACGTCAGGGAGCCGCCTATTAGCCCGACCACACATCCACCATTCAACATTCACAAAAAGCACGTACTTTGAAAGCTCCAGATACCTCCTGAACGTGTGCCCTCTTCCGGCCAACCTGACACGTGATGACCACAGTGACAGGAACTTTGCGCGAGCGGGGGCACAAGCCTGCCACATCGGATCCAACATGATATCTTTTACTTGGACACATCCGAATGCCACCTTGGGTAGTACATGGCCGCAGTCATTCACCAAAACGGCGCGATGAATGAGCTGTGAAGGCCTAACTTTCAGAGCTCAAAGCACCATACATGCGGAAAAGTCACCATCGCGCTACCTGCTGCAGACAAGGACTCTTGCGTCATTATTACTGACTCGAGAGTCGAGAAGGGCCCGAACAAATACTGAACAGAAGTGCATTACTCACGTTGCACATAGCATCCTTGAAAATAGCAATTACATCATGGCCCCCACGTCTCGTATGATTATATGGGCTCCTGCTCATATGGGCTTCGAAGGCAACAAAACAGCAGACACCGCTTCTCGCGTGCTCGCTCTAGGGTAAATGCCTTCAGAATTGGATGCCGAGCCCAATCGGGCCTTCACTTTTCCACAAATTACTCATTTCTGCCGACTAGGCCACGTAATTCATCCTAAACCCTGTAAGAGCTTTACAAAAGTAGAGGAGGAACGCGCACTTCTCCACCTTTACGCCAAAACACTGCCGTTACCGGCAGTTTAGAAACATTGCCATCGTGCTTATAAAGGAAAACGCTCGCACTGTGAAAGCGAGTCATCGGAGCTCTTTCGCGTCGTCTGGGCCCGCCAGTCAACCTCGAATCTCACCCAAAAACCAAGCCCCAGCTGGAATAATCAGAAAGCCACATATGGTAATAACCATATGCCAGTTATATCGGTACAAGCCAACCACAACAAGCCTTTGTTTACCAGGAAATTGAAATCTCTAGAAAATAAGAAAAAACACCTTTTCCGCTTGGCAAGGAAAAAAACATTGTGCTGTGGCCTGGGAAAAATATTGCGTAGCTGAGAAAGATTATTTATCAGCTATGCGTCGTGACAAGCACTCTTTCTTTTATGATACCTTACATTGTGTACTGGAAAGCAATCCTAAATAATTCTGGCAAATTCTGAATCCCAAGCCACCTTCTGTTGTTATCATTACCGACCATAATGACATTACGATTCCTGAACAAGAATGTGCTGAGGTATTTAATCTTGCTTTTTCATCTGTATTCACCACTGAACCTGATGCTCCTATACCTCTATCCCCACCCCCTGTCCAGGATGTTATGTCAGCAATCCATTTGAGCGAGGAAGGAATA